TCTAATGAAATTGCACACACATTTTGAATTATCTAAACAATTTCTAAGAAGATGTATGAAGAATTTATATTTTTTAAAAGCTAACTTTAGATGAAATATTCTAAATGAAAAAACCCGCGCCTGGTATGGATATTATTGTCAAAAAAAAAAAAAAAAAACTAAAAAAATAAATTTTAGCACTTTTAAAAACTTTTTTGGAAATTGAGAGATTCGCGATAAAAACTTTCAAAATTTCTTTTTTTTAAAAAAGTAGTCCATAAATTTCTGAATTGATTAAAAATTAATGAATTTATGAAAAGTATATAATACATAAAACATCCACCTTGTCCTTTTCATATGTAAAATTTCATGGTAAAATTGGCTCCTTCATCATTGTATAGGATACGTGACGTATACGTATTATTTAATTTTTGCTATCAAAATTTTTCATTTTTACCATGAGATGTTAAATATTTGTGGATTTTTAAATTGAAATGCATATAACTTTGGACTCAGTCATGATTTTTAAACAATTCTTTACTCTTTGAAATATAAATTTGTTAAGCGAATAAAGGACTAGGGTCGGTAAAATGTTGAAAATTTTATTTTAATGTAAAATATGTACATATGTATCAGCCATGCAAAATAAAAATTTTAAAATGGTACTGAACCACAACCAAAAAAAAAAAAAATATATATTTTTTCATAATAGTACTTTTTTCAAAAACATTTTGATTACAAATTTAATTTTCATGCACTTAGGTGACTTTTGACAACACTTCACGAAAGTGACTAATCCTAATGAATTTTCCTATATTTACTCTGAATTGACTTCCATTAAATGTCATTGCTGGGCGTATTTTGGAATGTTACCGTAAAGATTTTGTTTTCTTATTGCATATCAAGACAAAACGTGCACACCCCAGTCTCTTGCATCACATGTTAAAAGAAAATTTCATCAATTAGAATAAATTATTACGTTACGCGCCGTTTCCATTTCCATGATATGGACTGAGTTTAGTCACTGAACTAATACTCTGAAAATACTATGTTTTTACATTAAATTGCTTAAATTTAAATAAACACATATTACTAAACGAATAAGAATGTATATGACCGATCATATGATACCAGTGATTATGTTAAAAATATGTAATATTTTTTTAATAATGAAGCATTAATTTTGATTTTTTTTTGAACATTTTGGTGACAGAACAGAAATATGGGGGCAGGGGGTTAATATGGGCCTATTATAGAAATTTTGGTAGAGGGATTTACGTCTACATTAAAGTTATTTATATAGAATTTTATTCTGATTTTAGCATTTATAAGTGAATTTTGACCTTCAAATGATTTTCTGAAGTGGACTTTGTATGCGGGCTAGGGTCAAATAAATACCGATCATTACGAAAATTGGCAGTACCATTTGGACTTACATAAAATTAGTTTTGGCGAGTTTTGGATAGATACAATAACATTTAACATATCTATTCAGGAGGTACGGTGTATGGGGGCTAGGCGAATTAATGAATCGATCATCATCAAATTATCTCTAAAATTGCGATCTGTAGCGTGCGCACAAGGTTTACAGACAGACGGATGTCAATGCAGAAAGTGATTCTGAGCCGATTGGTATACTTTAGGACCAATATTTTTGGGCGTTTCAAACATCAGCACAAACGCATAATACCCTCCAACTATAGTGGTGTAGGGTATAATTATGTATTATATATCCCTTGATACGAATTTTCCATCGTAATTATAATTTACTTTAAATTGTGATTCACATCTACTATAGTACTGAATTTTCCATGTCTGGTATACTTATGTTACTTACATATGTCGCTCATAATACAGACGTTACAGTAAGCACGGTAAAAGGAATATTATGTCAATAACACTGATTGGAAGATTCTTAGGAATTACGTCCAGGAAATTGAGTTTCTGAACACTGAAAAATAATTCATTCAGTGAACTTTTTTTTTTCATAAACTTCAACTTACGTCGATAAAAGTGTAGTATCAGCGGTTACTTCACAGAAGGTTATAAGTTTTTTTTATTATTCAAAATTACCTTATTGTTTTGGTCTAAACTTTATTTGTTAACAGAGAAAATCTTATCTTTTTCGAATATAAATTCCTACAAGTTCACAAATGCTTACAATTCCAAAAAGTAACTTTAATATGCAACATTCCTTTAAATAATAGCAAGTAAGAATAATTGATACCCTACACTTAGATGGTACTTTCAGAAAGGACTTCTATGTGTATAACCCGAAAACATTATCCCTACCAAACTATAGTAGTGCCAGGTTTAACGAAAAAATAAAACTATAGTAAAAGTTTTACGTGTTTCTATTTAATAAATCTAAGAAAAAGAAAGAATATTTCAATTAATTAAAAATATATGGACTAAATATATGTATGTGTATTGCCTCCAAATTTCAGTAAGATCAGACCATGACATCAACTAGCTCCCCTGTAATAGCATATTTTTTTCGGTTAAAAAGTTTGTTTTGACTGTAAATTATATTTTATTATTTAAAACTTCTGTAACATCTTTGCAAATTTGATTTTGATTTATAAACATACATACATAATTATATTATACATTGTACATAATTTTGTATTGTAGATTTTGCGAATGCAGTGAAATATTTAAAAATTTTAAGGAATTGTCTCAGAAAAAGAGAAGTCGAAATTGCACAAATGTATCAAACTAAGCAATTTAAAGAAAAAGCAAAATGTCATGTTGTTTCTGGGTTCAGCACGAGCGGTATATAATCTCGAATGACTGCTTTTAGTATTTCTAAGTTTTTTTATTTATATTTTTTTTTGTAGTTTTTATTTTATATTCTGAAAATGAAAGTTAACATTGCAAAAGTACTGCTACATTTTCTTTTCATTTTAAATTTGCAACTGAAACTCCTTTCGATATGGTTGACAAAACTTTCCTGCCGTATAAAGTTGTTCGAGTGTGGTGTATGTGTCAGTTTGAGTATAACGGTTACTCCTACTGCTCTGTTTGCATTTCCACTTGTAATAATCCTACTAAACATTTTTTGCCGTAATTGTCTTAATTTCTTGTAGATACTCAAATAGTAGATAAACGCTATAATGTTCAATAATTTTAGTGTCTCGAATGGCGCAAAGTAATTGATTTCAATTTGTGGATTATGTGTATTTTAAAATAAATTTTATTTTGTTTAAAATATTTACAAAAATATGAATATGTTTAAACTTACAAAGCTTATAAATATAAAATAATAACTTCTCCCCTTTAGTTTTAAGATTTTGATGTTAATAAACATAGCGTTTATGTACCAGGGATTTTGCTCTTCATTCTGTCCAACATTTCCAAAGGAACAGTATCTTTCCACGCCTTTCCGCTGCTGTAAAATTATTAAAAATTATAGGAAAATAACACAAAATAGATTAAAAGATATAAGATATAAAATATTCTAAACATTACCTTGTTTTATCCGAGTTTCCGCATTAATTTATCCTCAAATGTAATTAGGTTTTTTTTTTTTAAATTATAAATTCATTTTATTATATTTATTTTTTGTAAACGTCAACTACAATTACCAATTAATCGTTTGTGAACATCGAATTTGGTTCTTTTAACCGTAATTAAATTCTTAATAATTTTTACAATTGATAATTGGTTCTGGTGCTCAATATTTTTTACTGTCTACTGTTTTACGGTTACAGCGACTAATATTTGATGTTCTTATGTTTTAATCCTAAATAAAAGTCAGTTGCATTTATTGAATTCACAAATGAATTTAATAACCGATACAATTCAGTTCAAATTATTGATTTGGAAATCGTAAAAACCACAATTCGAATATTAATATGGATTTTTAATATTGAATACAGAAAATCAGTTAATTATATAGTTTTTCAATAACAGCGATACAATTTTAATAAATTGAACTAAATATTAATCATGGCAAACGATTTCCAATCGATCTGTTTTCTGTGTGCTCCCTTTTATATCCCTTTTAATCTTTTCAAATTTTGGTATTTGAAAAGTACTTTATTAAAAATTGAGAATGCTTACGCGAAAATATGAGTTAATCGTAAGATAACTCATGAACAATAATGATATCAGTATAAAATTCGACTCAATATCCATAATTAAACATATCTCCCATATACGGTCTACCTCCGAAATTCAATTAAACGCGCATAATTCACTGATAAATGCAGACATCAGAACATTCAACAGGAGTAGAGTATGTCTTGTGTAAATACAAATCATTCAGAGAATTTTTTCAAATAATTATGTTAGACAATTATTAGGTCTGGAATGAAACATATAGAATGTTTAGTGGGATGCTACTGATGCTTTAAAAGAGTATGGCTGTTATCTATTCCAAGTACTTGTAGTTCAAGTTGTTTTTTATTCTTCCCCATTTTTTACACTTATCGCAACAGATGCTGCATTGAAATTATTGGCAATTGCTAAGTTCTTATGCGTTTATGTTTTATTTTCCCATTGTTGTTGTTTGTAACTTTAGACCAACTTATGGTTGAAATATTAGAGATTGTTTGTGTAGCCACAAATAAAACAATAATGTAAATATACAGAGTCAAAATAAAAAAAAAAATAAATAAAAGACAGAATGGTGTTGTTTTATTTAAAAGTTAAGAAAACACATACATAGAATTGTGCATAACTGAAACAATTAATTTTGTGAAGAAAATTAAAAAAATAAAGTCACGAGTAAACCATGTAGATTGTTATTATATTTGCGTCCATATTGATAAACGATGCCATCTCTAGGTATAAAGGTTTTAAGTTTTTTAAATATTAAAACATTGGCAAAAATAATAAATTTCAATACTTCTTTAGTGCCTACTGATCCAAAATGTTATCTTTTTTATTTTTAATTGATTTTTACTTGTTTATTTTTTCAGTTTGTCTCAAAATTTAGTTTGAGCCTCATTAAAGTAAATGCTATTAATCATCTTTTCGCCAATTTATAAGTCAAATAAAAATATAAGAATGTTTCAAGTATTGAAATTTTTATTGCAAATTAATATAATAAATTAAATTAAATAAATATGTATATTAAACTTAACTAATTTTGTACAAAAATGTTGTGGCAATATCAACGCCTACGTTTGCGGTGTGACGAACGTCGTTTACGTACAATGGGTTTTTGCATAACTATGCATGTCATGCCGTCTCCTGAATTAGTTTGTGTGACTGTATTTGTCTTGGTATCGGTTGCCGTGCCTGTGTCAATAGACGTACCAGTTCCAGTATCGGTATTAGTAGCGGTTGCAGTGCCGTCGGCAACACCGGTCCCAGTATTATTTGTGTCAACAGTATTGGTGCCTGTCCCACCTGTTGCGGAATCAGTAGTAGCTGGGGTATCGGATACGGTAGGAGATGTGACAGCAGGAGATGTAACAGCTGCCTGTCTTGCCACCTCCTCAACGACGGGCTCTTCGATGCGAGTGTTAAAGCAAATCTCGGTTGTTTTGTACCTGATGCCACTAGAATTATTAGCGGAACCCCATTGAAACATTTGCGTTAAAGCGGTCATATTAATACCCTGAAAATCTCCCATCATACCAGTGACATTAAAATTGTTGATGAACTGAGAGGTAGCATTTGATGAAGCCAAATCAAAGAGCAATGTACCGCCAATACCTTTGGTTAAACCCAAAGCAAAACCGGTCATGGCAGCCAGTCCTTGGGTAACCACGCGGCCCTCTGGCACAGCATCTTCACGACCTGCTATCTTAAGAATTCTTACGACTTCTTGGGCCGACAATGGACGCAGTATGACGCGTCTAGCAGCTTGTAATGAAAAATGTGTAAAATATTCATATAGTTAACTCTGAGTGAAATTTATTTCACTATCAGCACCTACCATTAACATTTACCGTGGCTGCTGCAAACACCGTTAGAATAACAGTTAAACGAAGTAAGGTTTTTAATTCCATTTTGTTGAATTTCCGACTGGCCTCCTAAATCAGAAGGGGAAAGGTAGCTTGCGTAATGGCCAAAATGAAATGGCAGCTCTCGTACGCGAGGTGTCAAGTATTCAAACTGAAATTTATATTTGATCGTCATCTGCTTTTATTAACAAAAACTGTCTATAAATGTTAATTAATTCAAACCACCAACAAAGAGATAAACGAATTCCATCATTAATTTTAATGTTATGTTTATATCAGTCAGTCAGGTCTTCGTTTTTCAAATCGAAGAAAGTACTTTTAGTTTCTTTTCATTTCCACTTGATTCGTTTGGTCATTTATTCTCTCTCTCTTTTTTCTTTTTAAAAATATTAAAAACCTCAGCGCGTTGTATATTAATTCACAAATAAATGTCTGTGGTTTATGACTTTAATGAACTTCAAAATAGCGGAGGTCAAAATATTTGCATATTACCATAAATATTAAACATTTCATTTTATATTTATTTCATCTTTAATTTCTTTGCGTAAAATATTTCATTGATTTTTTGGATTGATTTGTTAAATTGAGCAGTTTTTTAGAAATCATGAAAACAGTTTACAGCGTCATGTTCAGAAATACTCTTTATACTGAGTCATCAATTGTATTTAATTTATGTATCTTTCAATATGCAGAGAAATTATTCAAGTTTTTTTTACGACTGCTTGATTTTGATTCTTTACAGCTTTATGCAGATTGATTACACAGTGAGACAAAATAAACAAAATTAGAAATACCTGGGAAGTGATACTATTTTTCTGAAAGGTAGATCCGAGTAGAACAAGAAACTGTTTTTGAAATTTGCCAAACACCTCCAATATTTTGAGATACGATAAAAAACGGGTTTTCGTTCCTTTAAGCACTTATAAGTCAGTAACTTTGAATCTCAACCGATTTTAAGTTTCTCAATTAGAATTAGAAAGCAGGAGCTGAGGCTTTATAATGACATACATACTGATGTTTTTCTATAATCCTTAGTGATACTGCTGATTCTTTAAATAACACGGACTTATTTGACCCAGGTACTTATTTTTGTGGCATAGTGTTACAGGTTATTATTAGTGTTGAACCTACATTAAACCAATTTAAATTTTAAGAGCGTTTAAGCGCAACTCCGAGAAGACCTTTGTATGGGACCATTTGAAATCTTCGTCCGATTTTGAGAAATTTCAATAGACTTTGACATTGTTCCCAAAATTTATGTGTGTCAAATTCTAAAATTATTGAAATTTTAGAATTTATTACCGTTTTGATATTTTATTTTTTGCAAATTTTATGATAAAAGATATTGCGAAAAATTAAAAAAATTGTAATAAGATATGTACACAGAAAAAACTAAAAATATGTTTCAATTATCAAAATAATTGTATCAAGCAAGTTTTGCACCTATCACCAAAATGATGATATCAATTATCAAATTTGTAAAAAAATTAAAAAATTCTTTTTTTTTTTCCAAATAACGAATTAATCAGAACAATTAATATCAATAATTGAGACAAAATTTAAAATTGATTAATTCATTAATTGTATAAATTAAATATTTAATAAAAATAAAATCTAATTTTTATTAATTTATTAATCAAATGAATTAGTTTGTTTGGTAGAAAATGTATTAAAAACCAATTAAGTTGATGATTAAAACAATCAAATTATTAACTGATTACTCACAATGTTAAAGGAATGCTTGACCTTTAACAATGCGTTGAGCATTTACAAAAAATATCACTTTATTATCAAATTTGAACATATAAAGTGTTTTATAAATTGTCAGGAAACTTGAATATTATATGCCTAAATCGTATTGACTATTTAAGAATTATAAACATTGTTAGCATAAGAAATCAAAATAAAATATTAAAAAAAAACTAAAATAGAAAAGTTGGCCAGAAAATTTTTTTCAATCAATTAAAAAACTAATTGAATCAATTAAAAATTTAATCAAATTTATAAACTTAGGTTTTAAACAACGAGATAATTAAGACAAATAAAAAATTGCTTAAATTAAAACTAAAGAAAGAGAAAAACATGTTAATTGAAAATAAACTACTGATAATTTTTTCTGTGTATAAGCATATAGAGTTTCAAGTGTTCTACATATTTAAAAAAATAAATATCATCTAATATGTATTGAGTAAATTCATATATTTAATTACTATGTTAAAAATAAGTTTTAGATCCTCATTTTATCAAACGAAACGACAAACGTTCAAAAATATTTGTCTGAAAAAAATTCAAATTTTCAAAAATTTCCCAGTATTTATACAAAATTTTTACGTTAACGAAAGTTCCGTTTTATAAAATGAGGGGGTTAATACTAACTTCCTTAATGAATGGCCAAAATTGAAATACAATTTTTCGGGGAGTCTAAAGCAAAATTTATGTATTTTAAATAAATAATTTATTTATGTATGTAGTACGTATTATGTACTTACCAAAAAGCGGAAACTTAGAAAGTAATTTTGGCCAGAAAAATTGGATTTTCAATCAAAGTGCGTATGGAACAACGCATTGTTTGTCGATTATTAAAAAAAGTGAGAAAGCAATACCAAAAAATGCACGTTTTTAATATATGGTGTAACATACATATGTACATTAGAGGTATCCAAAAAATATGAATTTTGCTCGGATGGGTCTCATTATGTTCATTAGTGTCTTAAACTAACTGGTGTTAAATTTTAGTCAAATCGGAAACCGATTAAAAAGTCTAAAATTGGGTATTTTTTTTGATTTCTTCAAAAATTTTGCTATTAATCCCCGTATCTCGGACGGAAATTTTATTTAAAAAATTTGTATGAACATTGCTCAATTATGTTTTTTTTGAGTGCTTTTCATAAAAATTGAAAACAAAATTTCCGTCCAAGGTACTGAATACGGGGGCAAATTATTTTTTCTTAACCTTTTTACCAAATATTATCTAGAGGAAATTATCTAACCAAAGAGGTATAAAACATTTGTATCAAAGTACAAACAACAATGTTATTGAAGATTTCCCAAGCCATATATTCAAAAAATCATTCATTGTTTTGTCTTTGTTTTGCATGAAGATGATGTAAAGAAAAATATCTATACAAAAAATAAAATTAAAATATGAATTAATTAGTCGTTTTCGCTACATATTTGTGAAAAGAAAATGCCTTTTTGGACACCTCTAATGTACATACATACATACATAATTTTGTTGTTTGTTCATCGATATTAATGTATTGTAGCTTTTTGGAGATATATTTTTCTCTATAAAATAAGAATTATTATTATTTTATAGAAAATAATATTTATAAGGGAAACTGAGGCCCCAACCAGCGATGGAAAATCTTGATCTCTCATAAATTCCGTCAGCAGATTTCGGGAAAAATAATTTGAAATTTTGTTGAATAACTTTGGTCCACAAAAAGGTTTTTTGTAGGTTTGAGAGGCATATTATTTTCGCGTTTTATCGAAATATATATCAAAATTGTCGTAATTTTTATATAAATTATTTTTCTCGCGATAAGCTCAAAATTACTGAGTATCTGAGACCCATTTCGAAAAGATTTTTATAAATTGTACTGGGATCAGGATTTTGAATCGCTGGACCTTTTCAAAAATATATATTTTTTTTTGTTTTTTTTTCGTGTTTAGCACATTAATACGCATCGTTTAAGAGTGGTCCACGATACACCCTAATGTAGATGTATGAGTTTATTTCAATTGTTGCATCATGCGAAAAACGGAAATTAAAAGTTGATTTTAGACACGTGTACTATTTACGTCGTGTTACATTTATCACATACTCAAAAGGTTTTATTACCTGTGATAATTTTTAATATTTGTTTGTTAATCTTTTGGTTTTCATTTTAACACACTTTTTTATGCTTGCGGTTGATTTTTAATTAGTATGATTATTGATAATTTAATTTGTTAACGCTACATATCGCGGTGTGTAGTGCACTGTATTATACTGCATATGTACATACATATGTAAATGTCTGATATTATTATTGGGTGTTGACTTAAACACACAAATTGTTATTTTCAAGTCAATAATGTTAATTCGTTGTCTACTTCTCACAAAATTTATGTTGATAAAATGCAATGCATGTACATTGTACATACGTATACATTCATATTTTTTACAAATGTTTGTTTGTTTTATGACAATAATTTGGAATTAGATACATACATATATTGGCTATTTCGTGTCCAGTGACCCAAATTATTTGAAAAAAACCCTGTATGACCAAAATGTATAACTTTGACCTCTCTAACTGCGGCAGTTCTTGACCGATAGAGCTGAAATTTTATCGTATTATCCAATAGTACTAATGAAATTTCCCGTGTTTTTTCTCATGGTCAGCGATTTTGACTAAAGCGTGTTTACAACCTTTAGTTAATGTTGGTCCTTGAAAGTGAAAATGTTAAAAAAATAATTGAGAAAAATCTTACATTTTGTACACTTTGTGGTACAATTTTCGTCATATCTCGAAATTTTTTGGGAGCCCACTCTAAAATTTAATTTAAAACTTAAGAAAATTGAAAACATATTCTATTAATTTTTAATTCTGTTTTTATTTTTAAAGGATCTCACACAGAACAAGTAAGTTATATAATATATCGAATCTTTAAAACCCTAACATAGAGTTACATAACATACTGAAATGTTACATAAAATAGTGAAATGCTCCATGTACATTAGAGTGTCCCGAGGAACGGCCTTTTTAAGAATTTTATGTAGGAATACCTCTCAATCGATTCGTATTAATGTACTGAACATGGGAAATGTAAAAAATAAGTGCCAAAATTATCGTAATTTTTGCTTATACAGAAAAATATTAAAAAATAGTTAAGAATTTGGTTTGGTCCAAATTAGAATTTTTTAGATTATTTTTGGAGTTTATATGCCCCTTATAATACACTAAAAGTAATTTTGCGGACCAGAAATAATATAATAAAAATTTTAATTATTTTTCCCGCGATAAGCTCAAAATTTCGGAATTTTTCAAACCCATTTCGAAAAGATTGCAGATAATTCTTTTTTTTTTTATATATTGTACTGAGATCAAGATTTTCAACCGCTTATGATCCCTACCAGGGCCCTTTTAAATTTTTTTTTTATTTCTTGTATTTAGCACATGAATATGTATCGTTTGGGAAGTACAAAAAAGTGGTCCACGGGACATCCTAATGTACAATAGAGGCACCGAAAAATATCGAATTTGTTTTGATAGTTCTTATTTTGTTCAATAGTGCTGGGACGATTTTTTTATAAGTTATTGGAGAAATAAGATATATTATTTATTATTATAAAATATAACAGAATAAAATATTTAATTTGTGTACAAATTATTCAATAGTAAATTCATACAAATATGTGAAGCTAATTTCTATTTGTGTCTTGTCTTAGTGGTTAACAATGTATTATCTAATATTTCCGCATTTTTGTATAAACATAAAAATAAAAAATATATATCAGTTTTTTGCTAAATATTGACATGTCAAAGAAAACAACACTTTCACTTTCAGTCATCGACAAAAAGCATAAAAAAACTTTCTTTTGTAAGAGATTTACTCACACGTAAACACACATTCATCTCTCTACAAGGTTACATACTCGTTTGCGAATTTTAAAGAAGTGAAATATTTCAAAATCAATTTATCAAATACATAAATCTGTATATTGAAATAAAAACATCTTTTAGCTTTTCGATCCAAATATTTAAAAGTATGTATGTAAGTATGGCATGGAATTTAATTTTTTCCCCATTCAGTAAAACAGCTAGCAACCAAATTTTGTTATCTGCCATCAATAACTAACGAACTTGCGTCAAGCTGTGCTTCTTATCGATATAATGATAATGATTTACAACAATAACAATACATTAGTAACATGAAACATGGTTAATAGGCTGTTTGTTGTAAAAACACTCTTCTTTTAATGCTGACATGCTGCTGCGATCTCATTAGCATAATTATTCAAATTCAAAATTTAAATCTGGTTGGCTGGTTACTTTAAAAGGTAAGTGTGTGCTTGTGTGTATGACCCAAAAATATCTGACTGAGCATTTCATTTACACACTTCTTAAGGAATAGTTCTTTTGTTTTCTTGAGGCAAAAAGCTAACAATGAACCCGGCTAAATAAAACTCTCATCTCATTATGAAGAATATTTTGGTGTTGTTGTTGATTATTATTGCTTTGGTTTTTGTATTACAATACATGTTATAGTCTGATCATTATCCGTACTTGTTGTGGTGCTGGATGTGGTATCCGTGTTAGTGCCCGCATTTAAGTCTGTTTCTTCTAAAGCTCCTGTTGCGGTATTTGCGGCAGTAGGTTGCGATGCTTGTGTGCCAGCTTGTTCTGAGGCATCTGAAGCAGCAGTTTCTGCGTATGTGTTGGCTGCTACCATTTCTGGATGGTTAGTTCTTATTACTTTTATTCTTTGCGGTCGTTTTTGTCTTCTTTTATTGATGTTTTTTGTTCTATTTCTTTTCGGTTTTGTTAAACGCTTCTCTTGGCTTCTGCGTATAGCTGCTTGCTGAGTATTATCTTTTTCCTCTAAACGACTGTAAGCTTCGGCTATGGCCTCAGCCTCATACAGGCTCCTAGCTGCCCTAGATCCAAAGCATATCTCTTGTGTCAAGTACATGGGTATAGTGTGATTCGTCGCATCTTCCGTTATATTGGCCGTTATTATATCGTAAAGAAAGGCGGCTCCCACAGCCTTCTTGAGACCCAAAGTGAAACCTGTAACAGCAGCAATGCCTTGTGTTACTACTCTTCCTTCCGGTATAGCATCTAGATTGTAATTTTTTCTTAAAAGTTGATAAACCTTTTGAGCCGTTAGAGGCAGCAGTGTCACTTGCTTCGCTAAAAATGCAAAGTGTCCAATATATGTTATGTTTTTAACTCAAAACTAAATATTTATATTTACCTTCTACGTGCAAATCAACAGTAAAAATCACTACCGTAAATGCAACAAATGTGTATACAATATTGCTAAATTTTGCAGAGGGTTTAAAGCTTCGTGTTAAACTCATTGTGGTTTTTGTTTGATTTCCTTAAAGCGACTAAAAGTTTTATTGACATGTTGCTTTGCTTTTATTTATAACATTTACTATTTTCTTTTATGTTGTTATATACCCTACACGGCTATAGTGGAGTGGGTATTATACGTTTGTGCTGATGATTGCAACGCACCTACTTTCATGTCTGTCTATATAAACGTTGTAATCAAAATGCATCAAAATTTGGTAAAACTCGGTCCAAATTTAATTGACATTCATTAATTTTCCAAATTTTATAGGGATTGTTTGATAATTGGCCAAAGCTGCCTTATAATTGTCTTAATAAGAAAATAAAAAGAATTGTTTCATTCAAGCGATATTATTATAATCGGCTCTTCGGAATAGGATAACATATGTTCGGTTATACCCGACTATACTTTGTGTTTGCGGGTTTTTGTTTTAATGTACGCATCTATAACTTTTATGAGATTGTAAATTAACTTCCATACTCGCAGATGTCTCCATACATTTATTTAGTTAAAAACACATACCTACATGTATGTATATTTAATATATAGATTTTGATATAGTCATTAATAGCTGTATATATATATATATGCATTTGAATGAATGTTGAATATTGTTTTAAAGTAAATTTTAGGTCGCAGGGTTTGTCTTTGAATAAATTAAAGGAACAATTTTAAAATATGTATTCTAATTCACATTGTATCAAAAATTAATTTGATTTCATAGTTTATTGAATACTCCTACCTTTCACTAACTTCAAATACATACTTACTTATTGATTAAGAAAAAACGAATATTGATTTGTTAATAACAATATCTATGAACTTGTAGTAGTACCAATGACTTTGATGGTGAAAGTTTTAAACATCTTATCCATACATTTATTTGTTTGTAGGCCTCAAAAACAATATTAGGGTTTTTAAGCGGGAGAAATTTCTCGTGAATTCCCGGGAATATTTTTTTGGAAATTCCGGGAAAACTTCTGTCGGAAGTTTGAAGAAATAGCTTTCGAAACTAATTCAGACAAATTTTGGTAAAAACAAAAGGTAATAAGTTATATGGATGAGAAAAAATACCTGTTTGGCAAAAATGTTAAAGTCCATAACTCTCTTATAAACACTAGTATTGTGTTCAAATTAGGCATTAGGAAGTTTTATATAAACGTAAATCGAACCACAAAATTTAATGAGGATCGGTCCATGTTTAATAAGCATGTTAATCGTCGATCATGCCCGACCGTATTTTTTGGATAAAATTATAACCATTTCAAGGAGACATCAGTTAACAACATGACCTCAGGTTTCGCTGAAATCGACAATTGGATTGTTGCCCAAAAGAACAACTTCTATTTTTGTTTTGTTCGAATACCCTGTTTTTTTTTTTTTTGCAATTATCTTTGAAATTAAAAATACATAATTAAAAAAAATACATAATTAAAAGCTATAAGTAACGCATATTGCCAAAATAAAAATTACTTTTATTTTGGAATTTTTATCATTTTAAATGAGTTCAACTGTCGCGTTAGACTTCCCCCCGGGGGCATGTTACCTTGGCGAGACCTCCGCCTTGGTGTTATTGCAATCCCGGGGTATATAGAGGTGGCCAATACCTCCAGTCTGACCGGGACTGAAAAATTGGTTACAGTCTACTGCCTGGCTTAGTCCTTGCATAGATTGCCAGAGGTCAGACCAGAGCACCGCATAATCTGGTACTACGGGTGGCCAGTTGCCCGCAGGACTATGTCCTGGCTGGTCAGTTGATTGAGGTTCCTTCGGGATCCACGTAGTGGCTGTGGTTTAAACCCAAATTCGCGGGAAGAGTAAGTTGCGGTTAAAAGACTGATGCATGATAATAGTCAATATTTTGGGATAAGTTCGGTGCTGTTGCCGAAAACAACAGATACCCCACAGAGGAGTGACTGTGGGACTAAGCGTTGGAAATGGGGTGGAGTCAATTGTATATGATACGGAATGAATGTAGAGGTATGCGGGCCTCGTCCACCCGTATATCTAAATGAGTGTGTCGTATGTTTTTCTCTTATGAATGTGTCGGATAAATGAGAAGTGTGCTGGGTTGAATGATGATGGATGAAAGGTATCATATACAAGTGATACCGATTAATTTTCCTTCCTTGTCCAGATATGTTCAGAGTATACTCTGTTCATATCAGAATTACCACAGCGTGTCACTGTGAGTAAGAACAATGTCTACGGCTTATTGATGGATCGTGCTTCGGTCCACCGGTTACGTCTTCAGGTGCTGTTGCCGAATCAACAGAGCCATAGTAGTGTGGTTGGGCGACATTATGTAGGGGTAGATTGAGCTTGCTCATGACACCTGTCTTTCCCCAACGTGACTACTTTGGCAAGAGATTAAATAGCTCGAGTACTCCAGCAAAGTACTTGCGCATGGACCGGTCATAGCCAATGTGCAAAAATTGCCACCTGAGTTCTTCATTGAAGAAAAAGGGGCGATGGTAGACCGTTCTCAAGTCTACCCTGTGGATGAAAAAGACCACCGTGAGATAAGGCCGACACGGCAGGTGCTCACGTTAAAACTCTCGACAGTCTGTCGCGTTAGACTTTTTGGAAATGCTCATATGCTGAAGAAGATCTTCTCAACATATTTAAAACCAGCTGAATACTTTTCAAGCAAGATTGGCAATAATGTTGTAAAAAAGTCAAAAAATTTTCATATTATTTTTTTTAAATACATATTTTTTTCGAAAGATTGAAAAAATAGCTATCCAAACTAATTGGAACATATTTTGCTAAGAACAATACATACACAGAGAAAACAGATTCGTTGTGATAACCGAATTTGTTTCCAATCGAATTCAGTCGGTTCTAACAACTATCCTAAAATTCGATTGTAATTATTGTATAATTCAGTTAGTATTACTGAATATATGGTGTACACAACTATTTATATTTATTATTCGGTAATCTGGATTGAAATTATTGGTATTTGCAACCGAAATATTATTTATTGAAAAACAATTTGTGGATTATGTGTATTTGAAAATATATTTATTTTGTGTAAAGTATTTACAATAAAATATAAATATGTATGAACTTACAAAGCGTATAATTATAAAATAACTTCTCCCCTTTAGTTTTGAAATTTTCATGGTAATAAACATAGTATTTATGTACCAGGGATTTTGCTCTTGATTCTGCTCAACATTTTCAAAGGAACACTATCTTTCCACGCCTTTCCGCTGCTGTAAAATTATTAAAAATTATAGAAAAATAATACAAAATAGATTATAAGATATAAAATATACCAAACATTACCTTTTTTATCCAAATTTCTGCATTAATTTATCCTCAAATGTAATTAGTTTTTTTTTATTATAAATTCGTTTTGTTTTATTTATTTTTGTATACGTCAACTATAATTACCAATTAATCGGTTGTGAACATCGAATTTGGTTCCTTTAACCGTAATTAAATTTCAAATAACTTTTTCAATTGATAATTGGTTGCAGTGCTCAATATTTTTTACTTTCTACTGTTTTTCGGTTGTAGCGACTAATATTTGATGTTCTTACGTTTTAATCCTAAATAAAAGTCTGCAGCATTTAATGAATTGACAAATGAATTTAATAACCGATACAATTCAGTTCAAATTATTGATTTAGAAATTGTTAAAACCACAATTCGATTAGTATTATTGTTTTTTAATACTGAATATAGAAAATCAGTTAATTATACAGTTTTTCAATAACAGTGATACAATTTTAATTAATTTAACTAAATATTTATCATGGTAACCGATCGGAAGACATCGCTTTCAAAAGTTGGGTCACCGGACATGAAATCCCCCATATAGAAAATTGTAACGTTACTGACTGATTGATCGATTCATCATCACACGGCCTAAGCGACTTGTGCGAGATTTTTGAAATTTGGACAAATCATTGTTCTCCTACCAAAAACGAGAAAAATCGTTAAACTCATAACTCCAAAAATAAGAAAGAAGGGTGCAACAAAGAAATACAATTACAATTCAAATTTTAATTTATTAATAACTTATCGAATATCTAAGAATAGCCGTTCAATTGACCTATACCTTTATATAGGAAGTTTGGAGTCCAGAACGAAAAGTATTATTTGGTGTCCACCAAATTTAATCAAACATAACCTCAAACGAGGTAACTAAAACGTTTTTTATTCGCTGAAGCAGTAAATTCTAAATCTGTACATAAAACCGATAACTTTGGATTTAACGAGACCAATGCATTTTTGTCGTTTTAAAATCTAGTAACGATAATTACATGATTCTATAACAGCACCGATTAAGATATCAATTTAGAAGCTATGAATACAATTGGAAGAAACGTTTTAAACTTTGTAGTTTGTAGTTTGAAATTTGTTTCGCCACATTGCCCCCAAAATGTGGCGAAAATTGCGGTCGGAGAAGTTCAATTTGTGGTTAGTTAGGGATGCTTCCGTTTTAGGTGGCGATATATTCTACCTATTTAAGAAGTATTTACATACTTTTCTTTTTTACAGTACGGAAATTATTACTATAGAAGTTTTAATTGGTTTTATTCAACTTTATTAAATTTATTCCATGTAAAAGTCATTTGAAAAATATGTTCATAAGTTGTTTTAAAACGAATTTAAAAAACATAGAGGAAAACGGGAAAGGCGAAAGGTTTCTGGTTTATTGGGTTAAACTGGAAAAGTGTAACACACATACATACATATGTATATAAGTAGTTATCAATAGTAAAAGTAGAAAAAGTTTTACTTTTTTGTGGCAATTGTTTTTTTGATGTTGTTAGTGTTAGTGGCGTTATTACAAGTACATACTGTAATATTTCAGTTGAATTTTATTGTTCACATCATGTTTTTGAGACAGGCAATGGGAACAGGGAGTAAGTGTCAGTTCTGAGATGTTTTTAATGTGTTGAGGCCAAAAGGGATTATTGGCAATGGAATCTTGACCATGACCATTTTAAATTAAAAACTTTATTTCTCCCAATTTAAAACTAGTTTTATTGTTTCGTTTTTAATGTTTACTCTTATATTACATTCAATAGTATTGTTATCGGTGTAATATAGTAAAAATTGCTGGTATTATTTTAATTTTTGTTCGATTTACCCATTAAGTACAAAAATGTGTGTATAGAAGTTTTCATTGGAACACTTCTCACGACTCCTGAAACAAATATTTTAAAATTCGTCCCAATAGGTTCCGTAGTTTCTGAATTTGTCGATTACGAACAAACATTGCTCTCTTATTTATATTAATTAATTAATATAAATATAGAAGAATGACTTGTACATACCTACTCATCAACTTACTTGTTGATATATTTTAATAATTTGTTTTAATATCTGCAACAAAAATTTATATTTATATTTTTATCAAATTGTCTTAATTAATTATTATTGAGTAGAAATTTGTAACCGTTCCTATTTCATAGGATAGGTTATAGAATATTGTTAAATAAAATAAAATTAATGCCCCTATTATGGTTTACAACTCAACTCAGTTGAGTTGAAATTGAAACAACTCAACTTTAGAACAACTCAACTTATATTTGGTATTATGAATTACAACCAATTTCAGTTGTAATTGTGTTGATGTTGCCAACCTAAAAAGTGCTTTTTTGTCATAAAATTAAGTGAAAAGTTTTTGAATTTCTGTTTTTCGTAAATGACAAATGTAATGAACATCTTTTTATTGTAAATTCGCTTGAAATCAGTGATTAATGAAATTTAAGAAAATTTAAAAAGAAAAAACTTTATTTTGTTTTATATTAAAAATTTATTCTAAACATTTGAGTTGTAATTTGTTACAACTGCTTTTGATAAGTTGTAATTTTTTTCAAAAAAGTTGTAATAAATTTCAACTTTAAATTTTAAGTTGTTATCGATAATACCAAAGAGCAAAATTTCAACTAAAGAAGAGTTGAGTTGTAAACCATAATAGGGGCATAAAAACTAATTTGGGTATTCTGGTCTATTGTCTGCTTTCAATTCCCGTTGGTTTCATTAGGGAAAGATTTTCTGGTTGCAAAGTGTTAAAGAAGGTACAATTGAAAGAAACTCTTAAAAAGGATAATTTCTCTTTTAAAAATAAATTTCACCACCATATTTAACAGTAAATTCACCACTTTGTATTAACAGGAAATGAGCGACTCTTCTCTCAACTCAACCAAATATGTACTTTTATTATGAATTTTGTAGCAATATTAGATTGTTTTGGATTTAAACTGACCTATCCACAGTACAAAAAAGATAGTATAAGATAAAGTAAAAATTGTTAAAACGAAAAAAGTAAGAAGTAGAATATATTATACAACTTACGGTTTATTTGTCTGGCAGACGTTATTGACTTAAAAGGTACATTGCCACTTTTACCACATAAAACCCGTTTTTTAAAAACGTGATATTTTGAAGGAAGTAATGCTGAAGATATATTTTCAGATGTAGTGAATTAGGAATCAATGAAATTCTTCACACGACAAGCCTGTGTAATTTTATCACATCTGCAGGTCTTTTCCAGTACTTCCATTGAGTAAATTCTACTTCATTTCCGCTTCTTTGGAAGTTCTTTTTTTGCTGGGTACATATGTACACACAACCACACAAATTGATTCAATCTTATTAATATTAAATACATATGAAGATTATTTATAAAATTAATCATACTTTGAACAACTTAAATTATGGTTTTTTGGTAAAAATATCCGATGTAAGGAGCAACTTGTTACTTTTGCTGTGAAATGTTATTTTATGGACGAGTGTCATTACTGTGCACAGTAATGAGACACAGCTGTGTTGAAATCATTTTAAACACTCTTCTAAATGCTTTAACGTCTCTTATATCATTCTCAATTTAATGAGTATAAGTTAGCATTAAATTCCGTTACATGATTTTACATAGTATATGAGCATAAAATGAGTGAACTTACAAATTAATAAGAGCAAAAATTGAGAATAAGAGTTGGAAAATAATGTTAATGTGTGTGTTGTTGATATAACAACAATTTCTCATCATTTTGGAATTTTTATAATCGTAATGTATTTCAAGAGTGTGTTTAAATATGTATTTATAATACAACAATGCTTGTGGCACTGTGAAGAACTTAAAAGCAACAGCAAAGGACAACAGTTGCAGCTGCCAAACATAACAGAACCAGGCAAAGTTGAATAGAGAACATGATATGTAGAAGGGGCAACATCGCTTCGTACACACCAAACAATGTTGTTGACGAAAATTAAAGAATAAACGAACACGAAAAAAAAAATGAAATAAAATAACAGAATAAAAATGTTGGATTTTTTCCTCTTCTTATTCCAATTTGAGTCTACGTTTGTGTGTGGAAATGTTTAAACAACATACTGTGTAGCATGTAATAATGACAAATACTTGTAGTTTTATCCTGTCGGTCGTGAACATAGCACGCGTCTTCATTCGTATGCGGGGGAAATTTCTCAATTGTGTATTAAATAATATCAAAATCAATCAAATTTAACACACACACATTAAAGTTGCAATATAATTAATGGAAAGAAAAAAATATAATAAAATAAGAAAAAAATATAATAAAAATAATTATTAGCTAAAATATAGCTTTGAGTTTTTATAAATTAAAAACCAAGTTTGTAGCTGTGTCTTTCTTATATTAAAAAAATTCTTAAATATGTTTGCAACCATAAAACATATTACTGTGTTTGCTGTTTGTTGTTTATGCACAAAAAAAGTGTGTTGATGTAAAAACAAATGATAATTGTAATGATTCGAAGGATGCAGCTGAGGTTGTGTGTGTATATGTGTATGTGTATGTGGAATCTCTAGAAATACATAAATTATAGCATACTCTAAGGCGCCGTATACTTTATACATTCATATAAAATGCACATAATAAGCATAAGTGTGAAAAGGAGTGTGTGGTTACAGTGAGGTTGGATGCATTCATGTGTTTTATGTTGAACGAACAAATAATTTCTTTAAAAGTGAAAAAGGCCAGAAATACCTAAGCAACAACATTAAAACCTTACAAGGTGAAACCATTGTCTCATGTGTATTAAAGAAAAAATATATAATAATAGCTATAAAAATCTGAAAAAATAAAAGAAATATATTCAGCATACATAATTTTTTTAGAAAGAAAAAATTCTTTTGTTAAATAGTGAAAAAATATGTACATCGCGTTGCAGCAAAACGAAATTTAAAATAAAATACATACTTAACTAGAAAACGAGAAAAAAATTAAATAAAATTAAGAAAAATTATACCGCTATGCCGTGGTTATTTTAGTTAACTGTGGCAATGTAAAGCTATATGAAGAATGTGAATTATTCTAGATAAATGTAAACTAAACTAAATAGATAAAAAGTAAAACAACAATCTTCAAGCCATCTTCACTACGCTATCACCTCCAAAACGTGGCTGCTGATGTTACCAAGATATGTATGTGTATGTATAGAAAAATGTAAGCATATTCTAAGAAGCTGCTTAATGTTATTCCTATCAAATTTATAACTTAATTGAAATTCACACAAATACACTTTCTGCTACCCACAGCGTGGTATGCGTGTCTACTAAGTCAGTTTAAAAGTTTTCGTTTTCTTATTTTTTGTTTGTTTTAGAATATTATGTAAACTTTTCTAGATCAATAAAGAAATTATGCAAATCTAGTTAACGCATTTTTTAGCTTTCATTCTGCTAAAAACTGAAGATGATATAAAAATATTTCGCAACAAAAATAAAAAACTTTTTGTGTTGTTTCTCCTTATAGCTGTTGTTGCCTGTTGTATATTCCTTTATGTTACAAAAAAAGATGAAACATTAAAAGTTTGTTACAAAATCTAAAGTAGAGGAAAAATTAAGATTTGCAAAAAAAAAAAAATTATAAAATTGTAAACCAGGATCCAATGCAATAGACTTAATTTTTTGGAGGAATACATCTCAAACGATGCGTTTTAATGTATTAAATACGAGAAAAATAAAAAACATTTTTTTTGAAAAAACATTTTTTATCTCAGTAGAATATCTCAAAAAAATGTCTGCAATATTTTCAAAGTGGATCTCAAAAATTCCGCAATTTTAAGCTTATCGCGAGAAAAATAATTTAACTATTTGTTAGTGTAATTCTAGTCCGCAAAAATGAATTTTAGTGTATTTAAGACCCATTTAAAAAAAATCGAAAATATTTTATTTTCCACATATTACACTGATGTCAGTATTTTTAATCGTAATGATAGAGAACTGAGGATTATTATAGAAAAATAATATTTTTTTATTTTTCTTGTATTCAGTACATTAATATGCATCGATTGAGAGGTATTCTTACATTAAATTCTTAAAAAGCCTGTTCCTTTAATATACATATACATATATCTTCTATTTTTAAGTAGGATTTAATTCGGTAATGTTTGATATTCCATTGATAAAAAAGAGAATTCTAAGTTTAAACATTCATAAAAGATGTGAAAATATGTATATGACCTTACCTTTTATCAGTCACTTTAACTAAAGTACACTTAAAATAGCGATTAACATTCTTGATTAACAAGTTATAATAATGGTATAAGTAGATGGGCAAACCAATGGCATACTTTAAGATGGGTGTAAGACAGACAGATCAGACAAAATTAATTACACCATCCTCACTCTAGTGTAGCGAATAAAAGCCAATTTAGATTCATAAAAACACAAGCACAATTTTTGTAGAAATCAAAAATGTCCTGTTATTTACCCAATTTTACACTGCGGGTTATTGTTATCCGATTCGAAAATTTAAGTTTTAGACACTAATAAACAAAATAAGACCCATCTGAGCACAATCGATATTTTTTTGAACCCCTCTAATGTACATGCACACATACAAACATATTTTATTACTTTATATAAAAAAATTGTAATTTACAATTCTAATGTTAAAAAGAAGACCATTTAATTTTTTATAAATAACTCTGAGATGTATGTATTACAAATTAGACCATTTCAATGTTGAATGCCTTATGATCAAAAGTAACTATATTTCTATATTATTCTAACACTTGGATCTATAAATAATTTAAACTAAACACTAAATTACTTTGTTATAAAACGTTACTTTAAAATTGAAGTAAAAATACAATATTCATAGAATATAAAAATAATAAATTGCCCTAGTCATGTAGATAACAAACACATTCCCCGCAATATTTATTACTTTATGCCATGGAATTTTATAATCTGTATTACGGATAAACAAAAAATACAAAATTTCTTCAATGGAAATGTTTTACAGAATACTAAGTCTGTATGTGTAATGAAACCCTTAATGAATGTGATATGATAAAATTAATTTGTATCCCAATAATTTATTATTATCGCCACATACTACATCTTGGAAATACGCACACATGTGTACATACACATAAACATTAGACATTTATTCTAAACATTTTATATTGAAAACGTGATTTAATTAATTTTTTTCCAAAAAAAAAAAAAAAAAAAATAATAAGAAATAAGCCACAATTTATTGAATCAAATGACAAAATCATAGTACATATTCAAAAACAAGAACGAAATAAAAATCGCAGAATTTGGGAAATACATATTTAATATTTAATTGCATTCTTAATTGGGTTCTATTTAAATATTTTTTACAACTTATTGTAACAATAGTTACAATTTATTGTAACTATCAAAAAATTAGAGTGCATGCGTTTATAGTTTACTTAACAATTAGGCTTTATTAATGTAATTATATGATGCTTGAACATTGTTCGGCAAAAAGAAAAAAATGCAAGTAGTCGGGTATGGCCGACCATATGATATCAATGATGCCATATGTAAGAAAAATTCTTTTTTGTAGGGAATTTTGTCAAAATTTTTTGTCAAGTTTGATAAAAACTTAAAATTTTTCCATTAAATTATGCTTTCTTAAAAATGTAGGTATGTATATCATTTTAATTGACAATAAAAACTTTTCTGAGAATTTTATTATTAATTTCTATATCCCAAAGAAAATAATTGTTTTGATGCAGAATTTTAGATAGCTAAATAAAAATTACTACATAGCTTCTTCATTCCATTATTAATAAGGTATTAAAAATCGCCATAAATATCGTGTGCGCTATGCGAGATATTGGCGGTCAAAAGTCACAAAAATCAGTTCAAATCTTAATATTTTTAACACCGATGCCGTTTATGTCACAATTTTTCTTTCTAACCTTAGTAATAGATTCCCCAATTTGGGGAATTCGTTTATATGGTTGTATCGTTAAAAACTATTAATAAATAAATATTTTATTTCATTTTTAAAAATATTTGTTTCCTCAAAATCGCGAAATAGAGCAATTTTTCTCACATTTTTAAAATTTCCCTTCCACTGATATACTTATAATACTTTAGTATAATGTTTTCTATGTGGCAAATTAAATAGGTTATATGAATCCTTAGGTTTTAAGGTGGCATGAGCCCACTTGCCAAAAAAAAAAGCATTAAGGATGAAGTTAGATATTATTAAATGAGATCTTTTTATATTCAAAATATTAAATATTTTGCCAGCATCTCTGCCAAAATGTAAGGTATGCGAAAAGTTAGCATGCTGCTCGTATTTTAGAAATACGTCACAATATTACTTGCACATGTCATATTTTAGAAATTCCCTAATTATGTTCATTTTAGAAAAAACGAAGGTGAAAAGGAAATAAATGGCAGCCATTCGTATCATACACCATAGCAAAGGAAATTGTGTCAATTTTGAATCGTTTGAGAAAAAAAATATTTTTTATAAGAGAGAAATCTGCCTAAAGGGATTTTTTTTTTGAATTTTTCATTGTAATGGCATAATTTTCTATTGTTAATTTTTCTATATTAAAACCGGAAATTTATTAATTTTGACACAATACATACATCCAATAAACAAGCAATTTTTTAAATAAATTTACGCTAGTCGAACTGATTTTACCCTATATTTTTGCAACCTGAATTGTTTACACAATTTCGGTTAGGATATCGAAACGCCTTTTGTTTTCTAGATTTAATCGATTTATTCGTTATTTAAATCTTCACACTTTTCAATTATTAGAACAATAAATAGATTAAATTACATGGTTATCCAAACGATGGTTAACAGATTGAATATGCAAGAATGTATGTTCTCCTCTGTTTACGTAGCTTTCTATAGCCATCAGATAACTTACTTAGAAAGCAGAATTTTGGAATGTGTAAACTACTATCTTTCACAATATAATTTTGCGTCCCTATAAGGTATATATGAATATTCAAAATCCTTATAGATAGAGAAGATGTCCGTATGTCTGTTCTTTATCTGTATGTTTGTTGAAATCACAGATGGATATCCCAGATATCTCCGGTATTCAAACCTTGAATAGTTATATCTGATATGCTCTCGAGAAGTTTTTGTATGCAAATGTAATGAAAACAGAAAAAGGGCTATGCCTTTTTGCGTTTCAGGATACGGTATGTTTATGTTGTTGTATTTAGTTTGTTTTGTTTATAAAAACTAAATACATACTTTTGATTTTGCCAAAATGTATGATGTAAAATTGAAATAAAAAAGTTACATTAAAAAACAAAAAAAAATTAAAAAAATTATATAAAAAAATTATTTTATTTATTTTTAAATATTTTTTCTTTATATAAAAAAATTATTTTATTTATTTTTAAATATTTTTTCTTTAATGTATATATGTATGTATGTATGTATATGAAAGCTACATAATTTACTTTACTACTTTTATTTGATTTTGTACAAAGTTTGATTATGTTGTTTAAAAGAGAATTTTCTCTCATTTTTCTAGGTAATATAGAACACAACTAGAAACGTACCAACAAAACCATTCTATAAAATAAAAGTGAATTCAGCAATGTTGCTAAGAGTTCCATTTAAAGATTAAAAATACAATACTGAAAGGAACAAGGGGAATTTTAACGTTGGTTAGTGTTATTGTAATATTAGACCCATGAGAGTATTTAGCAAGCAAATCAAATACAAAGGAAGTGAAAAAAGACCGAAAACCAAGGCCAAGAAAAACAATCCAACCTCAACGATACTGGACAGTTAAGTAACAACGACAACGCGAACAAAATAACCTAAAATGGAAATGATACATTAAAATCCATTGTTACCGGTGGTACTAATTTGACAAAAAAAAAAAAAAAAAACTTTAAATGTTAGTTGGCACTTTATAGTTTACGGTTATTACTTTTTGTTGTTGCCATATTAGAAAACCACCCTTCAATATAAAAAATAATAAACATAGACTAAATTGAATATCTTTGTAACTTTTTACTTTAAAAGTGAGAAAAATAAATTAAACAAAACAAAATTTGTTGCTCCTACTTTGGCACTTTTCTTGTGCTATGAAGTGCCCGATGTCTGGCATTTGTATACGTGTGAGAGATTGTTGTGTTCAAATAAGCCAAGAAATGTTACGAATTTTAATTTGTTAATTCAATTTCTAACTAAAGTGTTTATTAGTGTAGAAAAATTATAGAGAACCACCACCAACAAGAAACCAACATCAAAATGTATCAAAAGCAAGAAGAACCACGTCGACTAATATCGTCAACTTTGGCATTGAGATTGTCTTATTCAGAACCGCAGCCACAAGAACAATATCGCCAAGACCCGAAACATCATCACAAACATTACCACCAGCATCGCCACAGCTACCACCACCATCATCACAGCAGTCAACATCATCATCAGAAATATAAGGCGAGACATTATTTTTCTCGTTGCGGATTAATTTTCTTAATTTTTTTCTCTGTGATTAAAGGTGAGTAATTTACTTTCATTGTAATTTGTGGTCTTTTTATTTTGAGTATTCATTACATTTTTGTTTCTTAACTTCTTACAAAAGCAAATTATTTGAATTCCTAAGAAACTTGTATTTTATTAGCCATTTTATTTTATGAATAAGACAAAAAAAAAAAAAAAAAATATAGCTGCAAATTTTGTAGGATCAAAACGAAGTGAAAGCATTCACTTACATACATATTTATTAAATCATAATTTTTCAATATTATAAATACATATTTATTTTATATAATTTCACTTTATTTAATTATTTACTTTTTTAACATAGCAATAAAAAATAAAAATACTTAAAAAGAAAGAATGTATTGTCTGTCATGACCGACAATATGGCGATTTCACTGGCTTGCATTAATGTCGGATTTTACCATAAATCATATAAGTATATTTATGATATTTATTGACTACAAACTGATTTTCTAAAGGGCTGTTGGGATATGGACACAATATTTGGTAAATGAATTTGTGTCCATATAAAACTGATCTATTATAGCGATACCAATATTTAGGGCCTCCAGCTTAGAGAGAAAATAGACTTTTATGTCTTCACTCAAAAATCACAAAAAATCGATTTTTGGTTGCAAATGAAAGTGATCACAAAATTTAATCGTTTCTAACCTAGGGTCTCTAGTTTAGATAGTAAATGGACTTTTATGTTTTCACTCAAAAATCACTAAAATCTCTATATTGGTTGGAAATAAAAGTGATCAAAGATTTTAATCGTCTTTGTCCCAGGGCCTCTAGTTTATCCCGAAAATGGACTTTTATGTTTTCACTAAAAAATCTGTAAAAAAATACTTTTTGTTGGGAAATTTATGTTTTCACTCGAAAATCACTAAAAGATAGATTTTTGTTGGGAAATGAAAGTGATCACAGATTTTATTCGTTTTTGCTCTAGGGCCTCTAGTTTAGCCAGAAAATGGACATTTATGTTTTCACTCGAAAATCACTAAAAGATAGATTTTTGTTGGGAAATGAAAGTGATCACAGATTTTATTCGTTTTTGCCCTAGGGCCTCTAGTTTAGCCAGAAAATGGACTTTTATGTTTTCACTAAAAAATCACTAAAATCTGGACTTTTGGTTGGAAATAAAAGTGATCACAGATTTTAATCGTTTTTGCCCTACGGCCTCTAGTTTAGCCAAAAAATGGACATTTATGTTTTCACTCGAAATCACTAAAAGATAGATTTTTGTTGGGAAATGAAAGTGATCACAGATTTTATTTGTTTTTGCCCTAGGGCCTCTAGTTTAGCCAGAAAATGGACTTTTATATTTTCACTCGAAAATCACTAAAAGATAGATTTTTGTTGGGAAATTAGAGTGATCACAGATTTTATTCGTTTTTGTCCTACGGCCTCTAAAAAAATCAATTTTTGGTTGGAAATGGAAGTGATCACAGATTTTAGTCGTTTTGGCTCTTGGGTATCTAGTCTAGCCAGAAATATTACCAAATATTACCAAAAAAATCGATGTTTGGTTGGAAATATTTGGTAATATTATTAAAAATCGAATTTTGGTGGGAAATTGACATTTTTACTTATATAAAATTGCTACAATTTTTGTAAGGTTAAATGAATATTTAACATAATTATTTGCGAGGTGAAATAATGAACCAATTTCAACTTAGGGCTTAGCCCTGCTAAAAAAATATTTATGCCAAATCGACTCATGAAGTGTTATTTTCAGGTGGATGTAGGACCAATATTTTAGTCCATTGCAAACATCAGTACAAGCTCATGCAGTAATTTAAAATGTCATTGTATTGTTAATTGAATATTAATGAAAGTAATATTACTCACAGTGTCCAATTAATCAAAACTACAGTTTAGTTCAAAATATCAACCATTTACCGATTTTCCTTTTCTATCATTATTCATGATAGACTTCGATACCTTATACACTCTGTATTTTTCAATGCCTAAAGTAGGGTTACTTACTGTTAATGTTTGCATTTTTAGCCATTCCTTTTTTGTTTTTTTACGGCATGTTATTTAGGTTTTCTTCGTTCAGTTTCTTCATGGCCTTCATTGAATGTTACCCAATGTTGAGGGTCACCCAATAATCTCATCTAAAGCTCAAACAGTTTGGTTTAAAATTAATTATTTAATTCAATTTAATGGGATAAGGTTTATAATTAAATTGTTAACTGCTTCGTATTCGTTTTCTTTTAACTTTTTTTGTGTAGAATTTTTTTGTTAAATTAATGATAAAAAATAAAGTCATTTTGTAAACAGTTTTTTTGTTTGTTAATGGATTGAAATAAAACCCTAAGTATAAAAAATGTCATTTGTAAATAAAAAATGAATTGCCAATTAAGAGATGTATTCTTTCTCTTTTTTCTACATTTATATCTTTTGAATGACTGTATTTGAAACCCTTCATCCAGAAAGAAACAAGGTCGTACGCACATAATGCTTTTTTCTATTTTTAATTACACTTTTGTTATACAATTACGAAACTGTAAATAGAAAATTACAATAAATAATTGGTGGTTTTTAAACTGTGTGTTAATGTATGTATGTATTTGTATGTGAGTGGGCATTATCACTTAATTTAACCAAAGGATTTTTACAGTTTTAAGTTAAGTAATTTACAAATGTTTTCTACTACCCTTTTGAAATATAAATATTTTAAATTTTACTAAAATACTAGCCATACCATTTTTCCATTTCAAAATGACGATAAATATTCAAAACTGCCAACAAAGAGTGTAAAGAAAGAGGTTATATTACATACGAACAAAAAATAACCTGCTGATAAGTTTTGTACAAAATTTTATGGTCAGAATTCTATACGAAATTTTAATTTCGACAAGTCAGATTGACAAATGTCAGATAACGTGTCTGATATTCTTTCGACAGTTCGTTGGAAAAATGTCTGATGTCGTACAAAACTCTGATCAAGTATGTTGTATAAGAAAGTGGCCTTACTATTCTTATGATCGTCTGATGAAAACTTTTTCTCAATATAATATATTATGGTTTAACTATATGAAAAATGCATAATACTCTCCCCACTATAGTGGTGTGGGGTATAATTAAATTCCCTTTTAAAGTACAAATCCAAAGTTGCTCTTCATAAAAATGTGTGAATGATATGAAACCATTTTTATATTCTTTGTTATAAAAGCGACCACAAATATCATAAAAACCATACATATTTAGTTTGCTGCCTTTTTGTCTTTATATAATGGACTAGAAGTTATTAAAATTGAAAAGATCTGGCTTTTGATACTGTTGTTGTCAAAACAATGTTCAGCATACATACAAGTGTACATACACACATACATATGGCTGTATGTACGTATTTTTCAAAACTGCTAAAGGCCATTTGTCTATGATTGTTTGTTGTGGTTTTTATTTGCTTTATGGAAATCGTTTTCTGTTTAAATAAATAAGGACGTATTTATCAACTGCATACTATTAAATGCATGAATTAACATTGAGTAAAAAGCCAAAAAAATATATGTATGTATGTATACATATTTTATACGAATTTGTTTTGGACATGGTCCGATTTTTTGACTGTTGTCTGAAAGTTGTGTTCCATCATCTTTTTTATTACATTTTGAAAAAAAATAATTTATCATTTGTCTTGTAAATTCGATGACGTTTAAGAACTAATTAAATTTTTCATTATTTTTTGTTCGTTTATTTATATTGTATGTCTTCATAAAAAACTGAATTTAGTTTTAAATTAAAATTTTGTTTTGTATTTCTTCTGGCATTATAATGATTGCGATACTCGTTGTACTCTCGTGCACATTTCCCAATGATAAATTTTGATGATTATTACAAAACATTAGTACTGCTACTACTGCTGCTATATGAATAAGTGAAAAGATGGATGAATGATTGTATGGTATAAAATCCTACACAGAGCAAGAGAAAACAACATTGAGTGAAAATGAATTATTAGAATCATTTTGGTCTTTATAGTTAACAAGCCATAGAAAATGTAAAATTCAACAAAAACAAATGAATTATTAGTATTTTATACGTAAAAAAATACACACATATCTATTTAAAAGAACAATTTAAAAGAAATAAAATCCATTTTATTCAGTTTATTGAAAGCAGAAAGTAAAACTACACCACAAGAAAAGAAGATGAATTATAAAAATTATTTTTTTTTACTTTTTTTGTGAGTATTTCATTTTTGTTTATTTCTTTTAAAGAAACGTTAAATGAATTGGAAAATTTATGATTAAGTCGAAATTATTATTTTAACTTACTCTTGTTGAAGAAAAAACATTTTTAAATTTATGGCTCGATATTTCTGCCATAAATACATACATACATATTTATCGTGTCTTACTTATAATTTACTTAAATTATAAAATGTTTATTAAACTTAAGTTGTTATTATACATTGTAATGACCAGTAGCTCTAATAGTTTCCCAGATATACGAATTATATATGGGCAATTTCGTGTCAAGTGACCCAACTTTTAAAAGCGATGTCTTCCGATTTTGATTAAAATTTCACCAAGGTAAGTACTATTGGATAGTAGACTAGAAACAAATTTTCAGCTCTATCGGTCAAGAACTTAGAGGGGGTCAAAGTTCATTTTGGTCATACAGGGTTTTATTCAAATGAGTGTAACTTTTCACCTATTGGTCCTAGAAAAAATTGTGCAAAGAAGTTCAGATAGCTATTTCTTCGTTTTTAACAAAAATGTCCAACTTTGACCTGATCTAAATCCGGCAGTTCTTGACCGATAGAGCTGAAAATTTGTTTCTGGCCTTCTATCCAATAGAGCCTAACCTTGAAAATACCAACAGCACTGTTATGACTATTGTAGAATGTGCTGACTTACAACGCTTTGCACGCTACAACGTCGATTGTGAATTGAAGAAATACTTATTTTTATTTAACACACTCTAGCACACATATCCTCGTTATATGGAAAAGTTGTAAAAAATGAAATTATGGCATAGTGATGCCCATGAGCTCATTTT